CCAATCAATGTGCAAGTAAGTGCCCATCGATCGTCATTGTGTAACAAACAATCCTAACATTTGGCCAGAATTCCTCCAAGAACATTTCCGACGGAAGGTAGGGTAATAGTGTTCCAAAGGTAAGGTAAGTATGTCCATGGTGACACAAAACTAATCTCTATAGTAGGGTAACGTAACTCTCTGAGATAGGGTAAACTCATACAGCCTTCTGACCTATCCTTAGGTCAGAGCAGACATAGTTACTTTACTACCACTTCTTAGGTACACCTATTCCCATAAGTGCCTTCTGTTCTTTGGGATATCTGGACCATCAGATATTTCTCAAACATGCGCCAGCATGCCTGCCTAGTCTACCATCCGACCTCATGGTCTTATGTATGGGCGTAGACTTAGGTTGCCATAGTTCTATAACTTAAAGTCATTACATTAGGACCTTGAGGTCTCAGACCCTTATGAATCTCTTAACAATATTGCATTAGGCAACGAATCTTAAAACCTACCTATTTATCTATCAACCCTCCTTGATCCTCACCTTTTGGCCATATCCTAGTAAGATGGAAGACCCTTAACCCCACGAGGCCCCTTGGCCTAGACCTCCAGTGGGACACCAGATGATTGATTACCTTGGCTCACGATGGTCGCTCCTTAGTTGGACCTTAGTTGGTTATGCACCTCCCGGGTGGACTCCAGCTTGATGTTGGAAACCCTCCTTGAACCTTGCTCCTCGTCCACATATATATTAGACGGAGAAACCTTAGATAATGATGTCACAAACGGTGACTAAGCAAGGCAGATTTTACATAGCTCGGAATTCCAAGCTATAGGTATGTCGGGATTTCACATGACGCACACTAGTCTGCCATAGGTTATTATGTTTACCTGTTCATGACTTACCGTTGTGAGTCACAAGATGTTATAATTTCTGCACATAACTCAATTTATGAGTCATGGGTTTCACTTGGGTGATGCAAGTTGCGCACCTGATGGGGTTATTCAGTTTTGATTGGTTTTAGGTATGTTGTGCAGCGACTTATAGGAGTCAGCTGATGGATTTCGCATGACTCATAGTTATGAGTCACAGGGTTCGTGTGACATGAGATATGAGTTACACCAGGTGAAGAGCAACTATATAAAGTGTCACTAGAACCCTGAGTATGAGCTCTTCACATGTTCTTCTCATTTATTTCCTACCTTCAAGTTTTACAATAAAACCTACCTTTATGCTCTTTAAGATTTACCTTAAGAAACCCAAGAATTGTCTTTCCTCCTACGACGAGGAAGAGTAAGTCCTAATTAAGGACTTAAGAAAATTAAGGAATAGGCACGATAAGATAGAAGTCTAAGGACTTAGCTATCTACTTCACATAGGCAAAGGCCTAAGAACTATCTCCTTATCTAAGTAAGAATCGTTACCTGTCGAACCCCTATTACCAGTAGGATTCTTAACAATCGTAGCCCCTTGATATTTAGTCCTCAGAGATGGAATACCTGACTTTTACCTAGACCTCGGAGGTGGGATACCTGTCCTAATGCTTAGACCTCTGGTGGGATACCAGATATCTGTTTAGACCTCAGATGTGGGATACCTAACCCTTGCCTAGACCTTGGAGATGAGATACCTGTCCTGATGCTTAGACCTCCGGTAGGATACCGAATATCTCTTTAGACCTCAGAGGTGGGATACCTGACCCTTTCCTAGACCTCAGAGTTGGGATACCTGTCCTGATACATAGACCTCTGGTGGGATACCAGATATCTGTTTAGACCTTGGAGGAGGGATACCTGTCCTGGTGCTTAAACCTCCGGTGGGATACTGGATATCTGTTTAGACCTCTGGTGGGATACCAGAACCATGATACATGAACCCTTGGTGGGATGCCGAACCTGTTTATATCTCTGGTGCCTGACTGTAGCATGCCTGGAACTACCTACTCAGACCTTGTCTATTACTGTTACAAACTGTGACTAAGCAAGGCAGATTTTACATAGCCCGGAATTCTGAGCTATAGGTATGTTGGGATTTTACATGATGCACACTAGTGAGCTATAGGTTATTATGTTTACCTGTTCATGACTCACAGTTGTGAGTCACACGATGTTATGATTTTCAGACATGACTCAATTTATGAGTCATGGGTTTTACTCAGATAACGCGAGTGTCACGAACTGTGACTAAGCAAGGCAGATTTCACATAGCTCGGATTACCGAGTTATAGGTATGTTGGGATTTCACATGACGCACACCAGTGCGCCATAGGTTATTATGTTTACCTGTTAGTGACTCACAGTTGTGAGTCACACGATGTTATGATTTTTGCACATGACTCATACTTATGAGTCATGGGTTTCACTCGGGTGACGCGAGTTGCGCACCTGACTTGGTTATTATGTTTTGATTGGTTTAGGCATGTTGCGCAGCGACTCATAGGAGTCGTCTGATGGATTTTACATGACTCAGGGTTATGAGTCACAGGGTTCGCGTGACGCGAGGTGTGAGTCATGCCAAGTGAAGAGCGACTATATAAAGGGTCACTAGGACCCCGAGTATGAGCTCTTCACACGTTCTTCTAGTTTATTTCCTACCTTTAAGTTATTATCAATAAAACCTACCTTTACGCTCTTTAAGATTTATCTTAAGAAACCCGAGAAGTGTCTTTCCTCTCACGAGAAGAGATTAAAGTCCTAGGCGAGGACTGAGAAGAAGAATAAGGAGATAGGCGCGAGTACGATAGTAGTCAAAGGACTAGACTATCAGGATCGCGTAGGCATAGGCCTAAGAGCTATCACCTTACAGAGAAGTATAGTTACCTGTCGCTAGGTCCTACCCGGTAGGATTCTTAACAGCGAGTTGCGCACCTAACCTGGTTATTATGTTTTGATTAGTTTTAGGTATGTTGAATAGCGACTCATAGGAGTCGGCTGAGGGATTTCACGTAACTTATAGTTATGAGTCACAGGGTTCGCGTGATGCGAGATATGAGTCATGCCAGGTGAAGAACTACTATATAAGGGATCGCTAGGACCCCGAGTATTAGTTCTTCACATGTTCTTCTTATTTATTTCCTACCTTTAAGTTATTATAATAAAACCTACCTTTACGCTCTTTAAGATTTATCTTAAGATACCCAAGAATAGTCTTCCCTCCCAAGCGAGAAAACTATTTCTCCTCCCACGTCAAACAACTAAGTCCTAAGTGAGGACTTAAGAAGACCAGAGGAATAGGTGCAATAAGATAGAAGTCGAAAGAACTTAGCTATCTACATCGCGTAGGCATTGGCCTAAGAACTATTACCTTGATACGCATTAAGAATCGTTATCTGTCGCACCCCAGTGCCTGGTAGGATTCTTAACAATTATATCAATCTAGCTTTCTTCCTACTCCCTTCTGTTTCCATTTCTGCTAGTAATTTCCAGGCAACATACTTAGTTGGCTTCAACTAGAAGGTGACCCAGTCTGAGTGCGGAATAGTTGAAAACACATTACTTGAAAGCAGAGCCTTTTCTACTTTAGTTCCTCCTGTGATACGTAGAAATTCATGCCAATGCATCCAGTCATGTTTGATGATGTGCTTTACAAGCTGGAAACCAACATCCCTGTATTTGCCACCATCCAGCATCTTGATCCTTTTGAAGCTAACCATTGCATTTTTCAAAACTAAGTTTTCAACTTCTAGAATAATTAATTAGTCCAGATTAAAGCCGATAAGTATTTAAGGAAGGGCCCGGATGAAGGAAGTACCAGGCCAGAGGACTCCTTCATCTAATTCACTAATAATCTCTTCAATTAGCTTTATACAACCTCTAGCCAGACTATAAATCTTTTCTGCAAGCTCTGAGTCTACCAGCTTTCTTCACTTCTTGCACAATATATCAATAACTTTATCGTGACTCATATTACTAACTGCAAGCATCTTCCCAAGTCCTGATCTTGCCAAGTGTGCTGTATATTTGAACAACAATCATAATTAGTAAACAGACATGTAAGGTTAGAAATAATAGTATCCCTTAGACAGATGACATGGTCAAACTTGTAGCCTGGTCCATGAACAGCTTTTTGAAAGACTTGATTAGGGGAGAAAGAGATCAACACAGCCACTTCGTGATGAGAACTTCTTGCAAATAATTTCTTGTCATTAAGAAAGGAGAAAGTACATGGGCCAGGATACAAGTTTGACCATGTCATCTATCCAAGGGATAATATAAAAGATACTTACTAAGCATTTGGATAGGAGCTTGTCTCTCACTTGTAACAAAAACCATAATGAACATCCGGTCATCTGCAGCATCCTTTGCCATATCCTGAAAAAAGGCTGCAGTAGTTGGGGATTTGATAGGGTGAGTTGGTTAACGTTATTGATTACGAGGACTGCACAATGGCCAGTCCGTTCTCGGTATGCCTTTGCACAGTTGCAAAACTCTTCAAAGGCATTTTTAAATACCCGTACCTCGGCTATGATAGAGTTAGCAGAAGACCTATAGTTAGGAAATAATCATAAGATCAATAAACTTACTAGAATTTTGCTCACGTATAATGCCAATCTTGACTAGTAAAACAGCGATCCAGGAATGACGAGGGAGGGACCAGTGTACTGCTTTCGCAAATGAATCGGCAAACTCATCAAAGGATGTAGCTCTGGCCACAATATCGACATAGACAATACCAGGGTATTTGTGGCCAAACATGTCGTACTAAGGTGGTTTTACCAATGCCGTGATCAGCGTTCGCAGGCGGCCAGGCCAGCCTGCAGATAGCCTGCAGATGCACAGTCCGGCCCGGCCAGATCAAAGTGAAACTGACCTGGGCTTTGTAGCCCAGGCTTTGGTAAAGCCTATAGGCCACATGGATGCCTGGGGGCACCGGTAGGCTTTTGGCATATGCTACCTGACCACTAAATATTGCGTCTGTACACCGCTGATATCTGAAGGTGCCCGCAGATATCTACAGTCCCGCCCGGCCGGTCACCAAAGAAGCCCAGGCCGGCCGCCCTGGGCCTCAAGTCTGGCCGGACTGGCCGTGATACCCTACTATCATATTTTAACTGTGGTAGCCTGCACGTGGTTGAAGAACCAACGCAATCTCCTTGGATATCCCAGTCCTTTCCACAAAGGACTCCACAAACACATCCGGAACAGCACCTTTTGCAAGTGCACTTTCGAGCTCCCTCTCCCGAGCTTTATTACAGTGATAGGTATAAATGACCTCCATAATTGTAAGGATAGTAGCACCTCCAGCCCCTCCCCACCCAACCAAGCGTTTCACCTTCCACTATTAGCATTATCAATTATTCTATAAACCAACTATAGGCTAACCTTTTCCTTATTGCTAATCCATTCCCTCAAGTGAGGGAAAGATGTCCGAAGAGAACCCAGAATGGAAGACAATTTGGGAAGCTTAATAACAGATTCATTACCATGACGGGCGTGGTATGAGTCAGTGCGAGGCTGGGTACAGGGTCGTGGCAGTCCGTGCTGTTTCTTGAATAACTGCCGAGAAGCATATTGTCTGGTATTTTGATTAAGTGAAAGAGAGCGGGCAAGAGAGGACATATGATGGTGCATTGTCCATGCACGGAAGGCTATCATCATAGCTGACTTGTGGAACTCAAGGGAAAAGGAGATGATTTTCAAGGGATTGGTGTCAAAGAGAAGAAGAAGAAGAAAAAGGAAAGTGATGGGTGGTTGGGTGTTGGTAGCGGAGGGAAAGGAAATGTTTATGTGGCCCAAAGGCAAACAACGGTGCTGTACCCTAATTTGTGTGCAGATTTCGCAGCCTTTTAGCGTGGTTAGTGACATAGGTTAACCTCAGATCTTTACCCGAGGTAGTATGGCCATGGAACTCTCGTTGTGACCTGACCAGTAGAAAACATCTCTGCGATTGCGACACTTGAGCTATTCCTAATCTCGGAATATTTTGAGGAAAAAAAAAAAAGAAACGAAGGGATTGCAATAGCAGTTGCCAACGTAACCAATACCGGTACAGCATGGCTGACTCATATAGTTCCTAAGCGATAAGGCTTGAGGAAACTCCTACCGTACGGTGAAGACTGTAGCTTAACAACAAGATGCCCAGGCTTGGTGTAAAAAAAAAACAATAGGTTTATAATATTATGTAAAAATACAATACCGCTTGTCTTGAGTTTTGGTATCTAGCTTAACAATAATATGCCCAGGCTTGGTGTATTCAAGTTTTATGGGTTTTACGGGGGTGCCCAACTTGGTGAAAAATATGCTCTCTTTTTTTTAGATTATGTTAGCTTTGTGAAAAAGATTACCCTGTATTGGGGTTAGTGTCTTGTTCGCTTGGTGTGTGAAAAGCTGCCCTTTGTGGGGTTTGCGAGGTTCTTCTACTTGGTGAAAATATGTGTCTCCCCAGGGGATATGGAACGTCTGGTCACGGAGCCAAACCTGGCTCCAAGAGTCTGTTCACGGCTTCAAGATGCTGCTTTGGGGCTGTCCGGAGCATCATCTAAGATCATAACGAGTGAATTCCTACAAATAGCACATGCAGCGAAACACGGTTACCGGTACCACCGTCATACTGCCCTGCTCCACTTTGCCATCATCATCGCCGTTTGACACATCCGTCTTCCTCCCTCCCCCTTTCGCATTTACGGGAAAGATTCTATGATACCCGTGTTTAACAACTCCTCCCTTCCCCTCTCGCTCCCTCTTCTACTAAAAGCGCGACAACAGAAACAACAGCGGCTGCTCCTCGCATGAATATACCGACCGATCAACGCTCCTACTTTGCTCTCCCAGCTCGCCCCCACCCCCAAGACCCTCTCCCCCCAAAACGGCCTCCGTCCGCATCCCCGCCCAGAACTCCCTCCCCGCCCAGGACTCCCCCGGCCCTTCCATCATGGACTCCAATCAACGAACCTCCATCCCTGCCCTCATCCCCGTCCCCATCCCCCGAACCCTCGGATAACGACGGGGAAGCGGAGCATCTTTCACCCAAGGCAATCCACCGTCGCGGGAACCACTCCCGGCGGTTCGAGAGCCTATTAGCGAAGCACTCACTCACAGCCCCGCCCGCAAAACCTTACTCCCTGCGCGCGAAGCATTTGACGGTTATTACGACAATTCTACACAGGTCCTTGTTGGAAGCAGACTACCAGCGTGCGGCACGCGCTTTTGCTCTGCTGATACGGTGTAAAGGCGTTGACCTTCGGCCCCTCTGGAGTATAGGCCTCGATCTCCTCCTCCGAAAACCTACCACTCCCGCTCCTGCTAATGCAAACGTTGGGAAAGCGATTGAATACCTGAACCGCTTGATACTATTCTACCCATACCGTCCTCGCATCCACGCTCACCACCCCGCGATAATCTCTACTGCTAGGAGGAAGGAAGGGGACATTGGGCGTGTGGGTGCTGCATCCGCGCTAGATTTCTACCCTGCACTGTTTCGATTGCAAGTTATTCAGCCGGGAGGTCTTGGGAAGGTTCGGGAGGAGATTGAGGAGCTGATGCTGACACCGCCGTGGCCGGATATGGTTGGCTTGTGGTTGATGAAGGGGATGGTGTTGAATGCGATTGCGGATGAGGAGAGGGATCTGGGGAGGAAGGAGGAATTGAGAGCGGGGGCTGAAGAGTGTTTTGACGCGGTGAGGGAGAGGGGTGGTGAAGTTCCCGATGAGGCGTCTTGGGAGGAAGGGATGGACGATGACTGTGATGAGGGAATGGACGATTCCGGGTGAGTCGTAGTATTGACGACAGGTTCTTGATGCTCAAACTGTCTTCATCATGCCGCATACTTGATACTTGGCCCATGTAATAATGAACAGCCGCCACAGCAATATTACCGTATACTCGAGTAATAGATAATACAACTTACCCAAGCAAGTTCATTTCAAGCTACCGTACCAACACCCGGACACCCCGTGGATCATACAAGCGATCACCCAATCACATGCCAATCGACCCTTTACCCCCACAGGCGACCACTAAAAACACAAGAGAACCAGCATTCCGGCCCGCTGAGCAAATGGTCTGATCCGCAACCACAGTGATCGACCACACCCGGTAGACTATCCACCCTCCAGAAATAGCGGACAAGCGAGCGTCCAATTAAATATCACTCGCCCACAAGACTAGACCTTGGAACCCGGGCCGGTGCTGATCATTCTTTACGTCGCTCGTGTGTGTGTGAACAGTGGATCCCCAGAGCAAGGGAGCGGATGACAAAACCTGACAAGCTTGGGGTTAAGGGAGAGAGTAGGCGTGAGAATATTTTTTATGGACAGCGAATGTGGAAGTTGCTCATGGGAGAAGAGGAAGGTGTGTTGCATTAGGCTAGGTGTGATGCATAACACAAGTATACTGCAAAAGTCCTTCATGGGGCCTCACTCGCATGCTTCACTATCAGTTTTCCCCCGTATTAGCGTAAGTCAGTTGTGTCGTAGCTCGTGGCGCAAAGAGAGAAAGTGAGAGAAGTCGGACATAATCCCCAAGCGCGGCCACCACAGATCATGAATTTCAGCATGATTCCACTGGGCTATGGGAGACGAATGTGTCCTGAACCGTATATAAAAGGAGGTGGCGATTACCCAAAGGGCAAAGCTAAATCTCTCATCCTGCCTCCGTATAATTGGGACGCTAGCTAGCTTGGGCCTAAATGGAAGACCGGCGTTAATAATAATGGTGGGGGTTCGCTCCCAGCTAACGGATGGGAGAGGGAGTAGAATGTTAACTTGTGGACTGTCCCATGGAGCCTCTGCCGCACAATGTTCTCATCTGTGCTGTGCTTTAAGTGAGAACATTGTGCGGTTATATTTTATGATTTTCCCTTGGGGTAATCTATACCCTCCCGTTTCCTTTAGAGAAAGGTACAAATAAATAAATTTGAGTATGCTGTGGTCCTGCTCACCCCCCCCCCCCCGGGCTTGTGGTGTCGAGTGAGAGGTTGTGAGGTTGTGAACGGGAGCTTGTTTCTACACCAATAACGTTTGTGCATATCAGACTCTGTTGACTTGAATTCGTGTTCTCTTGGGTTATTTAGCGGTTGATATCGTCTACCTACAGTTCGTCACGGGATTTGATAGCTTTTGACGTTGGAAAGGTCATCGGTTCATCCCCCCATCAGGTATGATATGACATCTTTTCCCAAGGATCGGGTGCTCAAAGAGCGTTACGCTTACAACCTGGGCCGTAAGTTCACGTGTGTATATACGATTCTATTTCTACAACGGCACTCGATAACCGATTCCAATCTTGAGGGAGATTGGGTGGATTATCTGGTGCCTTCGTCAGAGTGGTGGAAGTCGGATGTTGCGATCGTTACCTCCCTCGCTCTCCACGAAGTTCTGGTAACCTTCTTGGCATGATAACCTCAAGGGTAGCCGGTGGGTAATGGCTCGCCGGAAAGAAGGAAGGTAAAAGATCTGGGTTAATCAGAAACTAGGTTCTATATTACCGGGAAATTAAGGTCTTAGCACGTATGATACGTGAGGGGAGACCAAAAAAGATCTGGTATGGTAAATTTAGGTACAGTGCAGTACGGTACTAATTACTCTACGAGTTATCCCGACGGTCGACCAACACAGCATCCATTGCACTCTCATGCTTTCTATCACCTTCCAGCGTGATACCGAGTGAACCCCACCATTTGCAGCTTGGATTGGACTCTTACTAGAACCAGAGAACTTGCAACATCGTGCCTTCACAGGACCCATATATATGTATCTTGGTGGCTGGGTCATGTACTGTTTCTCACCGCTTTTCTGCAAGTTACCTCTTCCGGTTGCGATTTGTCTTGTCTTGTCCTGTATCCATGGTAGGATTGTGTCCTCCCTCCTGTTTCCCGGGAGGGCCACCGACTTGAGAAATATTACGATCGGGTGCTGTGAGTAGGTAACGAGTGAGAAAATGGGAAATGTCTTTTTATTTCTTTGTGACTCTGCCTATGTATTTTATAAGGAACGACGGGCACCTGGCTCGTCGGGAAGGAGCGCGCGCGAACAACAAATTTGGTAGTGACAATGTTTTCAAGGAGCCTGCGTGCCTCGTGAGGGCGCAGTTCCAGTACAGAAGTGGTTCTGTGCTGTTGTTTGATGGACAGTGTGTGGGTCGAGAGGTCCGTCAGTAGTGGGGCTGGGGTATAAATTACATACTGGACATGAAAAGTTTCGGGTAGGGTGTATACCATTTTCGAAAGCACATGATATGTTTTTCCTTTCCCTTTCTTCACTTCGTTGATCAGTAAAGACTACCATAGCGGAGTCTGCGATCAAGTTAGATAGAGAAGCGTAACCATATTCCACAGATCAAATCTACTTTCATTTTGAAACAAAAAAACCACCCATCAACTTGGAGACGAAAGGTGACACATTTCGACCAGGGTGCCATTCCTTCTGCCAAACCTTACATCAACGTGCAATTACCCCCTTGGCCCTCACTACATCTTTTACATACCTCCCGGGCGTCAGCGGGAGTGCCGGCTATGAATCCACCCAAGGCTGAGCAGTAGAGTGCCGTCGCCTTGGGAGGTTTCGAATGGGGGGACGTGGCAACGAGTGATACAATGGGTATAGTATCACCATCACAAGGTGTTCCCTCCTCCGGCTCTACCCGGTCTGGAAACCTCATCGAAGATGGAGATAACCTTAATTTGACGCAGATATCTCTGCAAGGGAGTGCGCAGGATCTGCGAATACTCTACCGTTCTTTACCCTCGTCCGTTCCGTCAGTTAGCCTGTTTTCAGTTTCTTCTTGCGGTATGCTACCCGCTTTTACAGCGATCAGAGAGGAGAACATTGGCCGTGAACCCGCTCGATGCCAACAGCATTGCTCCGGAGCTAAGGAGGCCTGCGTGGCAGCGAGTGATAGATACTACAGGTAATACTGCAATTGAGTCACATCCCGGATCACCCCTCCTATATCTCGTCAGAAGTAGTCACTTTACCGTTTTCATTTCTACGAGGCAGTCAGTGCCCAACATCTGTGAATCCTTACCAATCCTCGCTCCCGCCCATTTTACCCATTTTCCTTCCGCCCTTCCCCACAAACATCTTATCTATTTCGTTTTATATTTCTCTCGGGAATATTATTCCTAGATAGCGCTTAACTTAGCGCCGGAGACCATGGAGTAGTAGTAGTATAACGTCGTAGCTCTTGAAACCCCTTTTTTCAACTGGTTCCCCAAGTCTAATTCCCTTCGAGCACAATGGTTGGTGCCTCAGGCCACAGCAAGAGGTTCAGATGCACTCCGGGGGAGGAGGGACTAGTTCCCGGGGGAAAATTATGGGTTTGGGTCCCCCCGCTCCCAGCGGTTGGCCTAAACTTTCGGAATCCACTTTGTATGACCGCCAATGGGAAATTGGTAGACACATCACTGGCATCTCTCCCCATTCGGTGTCCAGCCCATTCCTCCCTCCCTCCGATAAAAAGTCGGGCGATCGATCTTGATCGGGGGGGGCATTAATTTCGGAGTACCTCCGGCGCGGTATTCATCATGATTGCCTACCGCACTGCACTGTACCCAATCCATTCCCATTCACGTAGGTGGCCTATCGTGCAAATTCCATCTATACATCACAACAAAAATTCATAAAAGCACACCGCATCTGCAGAACAGAAATTGTTAAGGAAATATCGTGGTGGAGGAAGGAAGGTTCGAATGCGATCCAGGAAGAAATCCATTCCACATGATATCGGATCTCTTAGAAGCGCAATTTGACGAATCCAAGTCGCACAAACTCGCAGCGTACAACTGCATCAGCAACCTCAGCGGAAGCCAAACAAACATCAAAACCAATCGCCCGCTTTCTGGTTTCGTGCCTGGGCTTGGGATTCCCCGATTGGTAATGTGGGCGCCGGTCCGGGAATATTGTGGAAGCCTGGTGGCATCATGAGCAGCGCACCGTGGGCCGTGTATATCCTCACTTTCGCATCCTGCAGCCTAGTGCACGTACCACCCAATGCGTCGAGTGCAATTTCATGACTCCGTCAAGAATCAGCACATTTGCACCACCACCCCCCACCGTGCAAATACCCCGACGGCTACGTGCCTGAAACGGCCGCTTACGCCTTCCGTTTCGTGCCCGTGGCCATCGCCTGCACCATGGCAAACAAATCATACCTACACGCACAAATGCATCGCAAGTGGAATAGGTGGGGAAACAAATGGGAGAAAATGGCAAGTGGAGCCAGTGGAAACTTGGGTATTCCCGAGTCATAGAAACTCGGCTGGGGCCTTACGATAAACACGTAAACGGAGCTTGTTCGGATGCAAGCCCTGGGAGGAAGAAAGCAGGAAAGAAGAAGAATGTCGAATTTTTCACCACGATTCCGGTATGATAGCATAACAAGGCGTCGAAAGTTATAGCGCCCAGTGATGGTAGCTTTTGAGGTTCGCCTGGGGAAGATGTATCCTGCTAACTTTATCCATTTAAGGCGCAGACTGTGGATGCATCTCGGACGTTCGGGTCGTCGGGGTGGTCCGAAATTCATATCGCACCACAGACCTATGCACCTAATATGCACATCTCCCTGGAAATCCGCAGCGCTGTGACAGGTGCTTTTACAAACATCTCCAGCTTTTGTGAGGGTTTAACCGCTGTCATCGCCGTCGACGTTGCCTCTTCCGACCTCCTCCGTGGTACTTAGAGAGCGAAGCTTTGTGGCCCTATGGAACTGACCAGCTTGCCCCCGGATTAAGCCGCATATCATCAAGCAATTATATTCCACCTTGCCACGGAATCATTGCACATAGCTGCATTCTCCCTTCCCCCGAACCGCTGTTTCCACCTTCCGCCCTGCACCCACTAGAACGAGAGGAACACAGGGGCCTGACAGCTGGCAAACCGCACCTAGATTTATCTTCAGCGCCACAAAATACGCTGAAATGATCCCAAAGGAAAAAAAAAAAAAAAAGAAATGAAAAAGAAATCACAAGACGCACCCATATTATAACAGTGCAGCAAACAAAGCCTCTCCAACCGATATCCGTAAGCCCAATAGTGCCCATATTTGACGTGTACGGTACAGTACTCTTGGCCGGGATTTGACCCCCAATACAGTACGTTGCGCCCCGGCAATGGAAGTGGGAATACCTACAATACTTTTCTCTCAAGATTTGTGCGTTAAGGGGTTCATTCTCGTAAAGGATGGTTCACAGGTGAGTAGTCATGTTCGGAAACCCTGGCTTTGCGGTGTCCGCCTACCAGTATCCCGTCTACCATGGTTACCGGTGGTGCTGTCCGTTTGAGTGAAGCCCCGTGACTTGGGTTTACTCCTGTGCGCGCGCCGGCATAAGACAAAAGTACCAGCATCCCCCCCCCCATCCAAAACCAACAGCCCCAATCTGGGGTAGCCACGAGTGACATTCCGTGACCGCTACCCGCCTACCGTAGCCCCACCTCCACTCACCCTTATCGCCAATCCAGCAACCCCGAGCTGAAAAAACACGTTCGCTGTCCCAAAAAGCAAACAAGCGCCATAATTTGTGCTTTTTCGACTGCATTCCAGATACTCGTAGCGAATGCATTGCATCGGGGCTGTAACGCGTTGTGGGAGAGATGAACGTGATGAGGAAAGCATGCGCAGCGATGACCCTGGGGTAAGTTGCCCGGGTTGCCGAGGAAGGGGCCAAACCACATTTGTGGGATAAATTGTTTTTTCATTATTCGGTTGGGTTCGTACGAGTGCTAGAGCACAGTACACTTAAACTCCGCTGTTCCGGATCTCGATAATACGGATACCCCGCCGTCCCGTATGAAATGCTGTGGATCAAGAATTTTTCCACAGCAAAACTTGACTCACTGTTCCGATTAACCCCGTTGTACCGGACAGATTCTTTAGATTGTGGTCGTTTGGGATAGCGGGGTGTGAGTGTATGAGTACAGTACAGTACAGCACCGCACGGTTGACGGGCAGGCCGGTGGTGAAATTTCAGCGGTCTGATGCCTTTCTTTTTTAATCTGTAGCATGGGGCCGGGGTTCGGATGGATACGGGAGGGCCTTTCAATGTGATGGTGGTGATGATGATACGGTGCCGGCAGTCTAGAGAGAGGAAGGATGGAAGGTATGGAAGGTATGCAAGGGAAAAACTTGCTTTTTTTCTTTTTCTTTTCTTCTTTTTCGGGGCGGGGCGCGGCAACCTGGGAGTGAGATACGGTGGAGAAAGGGAAAAAAGGGATGCACGGGATTGGATACATCGCCTGCTGGTCAGGGAGCAGACCGTGCTTTGGATAGTGCAACACTTCTGTTTTGTTTTCCCATTTCGAGTTTTTGGTTCCCAACACCATGAATAAAACGTACACCGGATACGGTACCAAACGAGACGCTGCGAAACCATATCGGGTACATTGAACGAGTGTAAACGCATGCTATGCTACCCAACCTTCCGTGACCGTCCCAACAAGATTGATAAAATGCAAGACTCCAACAGTAGTAACGAAAACGGTAAAGGAAAAACACCAAAATTTAATAGCTGTGACGACTAAGGAAAATAATCTGCAATGATAACAAAGTGCCTCAATGTCAAAAATATTCTAAACCCAGACTGCTTGGGAATAACCACATTCCCCCGGCCATCACCTCCTCTGAAGCCTCAATGTCCTCTCTTCCATCTCCCTCGCTTCCATCTTGCCCTTCTCCTTCAGCAGTGTCTCCCCAACCTTACGCTGCTTCTCCTGAGCTTTGGCCCTCGCTTTGAAAGCTTCATGCTCGTCTTTCGCCCTTCCAGTGATCTCTGCCCTCTCCTCTAATCTGGTCGCTCTATCCTCTGCCCTAGCAGCCTTCTCTTCAGCCCTCGCTAGCTTCTCCTGCGAGGACCCGGGCAATCCAATGAATCCTGTTGGTCCGAATTTTGGGGATGTGGTGGTGGTGGTTGTAGTGACAGTCTTGGAAATACGATGCGAAGAGTAATCAGAACTAAGGCGCGCCATGGTATCAGAAGTGAGTGGTGTGTGGGGTCGCCCGGTTTCATGGGATGGGCGGTGGTGTACAATGCGCTCTTGAACAATTGGGGGTGGCTCCGGTGCATAGGGTGGGGCTTCGTGGATTATTGTCTTCTCTTCGAAAGTGACTGCTTTGCCGGTTGAGTTACGACGACCTGGTGTACATGTCAGTATATAGGATTAAAGAGGTCAGAGAGGGTGATTCTGAGGGGGTATCGGTCAAGAAAAGGATGAGGAGAAATTACAGTAGACTCACGTCGAATCTCCTCCGTCAGATCCACCAATCTCTCGATTTCGGTTCTGCTGAGCGCTCGGAGGACGACAAGGCATCGGTCCAGGTCTTCGGTCCATGGCAGTCCCATCTCCTCAATGGCTTCCTTACTCACGAGCTTCCGTGGAAACCTGGTGCGGCCTCGCCGACCGGCCCCACCGTCCGCATTGCCCTCGTGGTCGTCCTGGATGTCGATTGACTTGTAGTATCTAGTGTATCCATGCTCAGCAAGAGTTCTCGCAGAGAGCGGACCGGAAATAGAGTCCCGTCGTCGGCGATCACGGTTAGGGTTTGATGATGCAGGCACAATCAGAGTGTGCGACGAGGGATCACCACGATAGACACCATGGGCCCTGGACCCGGTGTGGTATGCATTCAGTGATCGAGAGGTTAGCGGGGGAGATGGCACAGGGGGCCGGTTGTGAATAACGAGGGGAGAAGGGCGACCATCAGGAGACACGCGGGAAGCCTCAACAATCCTAACACCATCATTGAAGGGCTGTCCCCGTGGGCGTCTATGGGTATGGGGGCGGTGGGTGGAAAGAGAAGTCATTGAGGAAGTCGGGGTCCCGGACCAAGGGGTGTTGAGCGGGAGCGAGGAATCACAAGATGAGCAGGCAGACCCGGCCGGGGATGGGGGGTCCACGGGAGCCATGTGGCTGCTGCGAGGAGGGGAAGGAGGCATAGCAAGAGTACCAGTGGATGACCGGTAGGGGTTAACGTTGCGGCCTGAGTAGCGGGACATTTCGACTGGCTTGGGGGGTTGAACCAGCGAATTGGCCGAGGCGCTATGAATGTTCGGGTACTTCAGTTTGGCGGCTTGATGGAATAGATGGGAGGATGGTTAAGAGTCGATAGCTCGCTGGGGGAAACAGCAAAAGTTGTTTTCCGTTGGAGGATGTTGAAGATTGTGGATGCTCAAAGCCTAGAGGGGTATATATAGATGATGATGTTGTTTGTTGTTGTTGTTGATGATGATGTTGTTGCTGCCGTTGCTGTTGCTATCGCGGGTGGGTGGAGTGTAGAATGAGGTGGGGGGAGAAGGGGACGGGAATAGTAGTTTATATGTGTCGCCCTGGCACATCCTACTAGTGGTGGAAGTCTTGCCTGCCCATCACGAGTAGGATTCCATCCGATATGGGGTCTCATTCGCCCCGAGTGCACCGGTCCAGCGTGCACTTCTCTCCCCCTCCCATACTGTTGGGACCGGACCAAAACATGAGGCAGTGCCCCATGAGAAAGGGTCTCACTCCCCAAAGCTTCCCCGGCTGCCGAGTATGATGCCCCGCGGATTTCCAGTGGCAGTGCGGTAGATTGCGGGCATCGGCAAGGTACCGGTAGACTACGGTGTCTCATAGCAACTAGCATTGAGACAAGGAAGGGTGGTACGACAGCCAGGGTACCGTGCAGTACAGTGCAGTCCAGTACAGTAATCATAGTACAGTACTCGTACAGTACGAGGACAAGCGGCCAAGCACGGCATCAGTCCCAGAGTGCGCGAGTGCCGATACTCGTACAGTGCCGTATCATGCTGTGCAAGCCCCCATTGGGCGTCCATGACGCCCCAACTTGGTTCTGAAGAATAAGAAATATGTCAGTCAGAAAAAGAAAAGGCTCGTGCATACTCGAGTACACAGCATAAAAAAAAAATTAAAAAATCACTCACCACAGCCCAAACAGAGTCCCAGTATTTCCTTTCTTTTTGCAAGGGCAGCAAAGGGGACCCCCAGCCGCATTCAAAGACGGCAACAGTCTGAGAACCATCGAATGCCAATCACGCAGCATGAAAACATCTTTTGGTTTGCGGTCCCCTGTTGGCCCAAAGTTGTTGACTTCCCAGCGAGCCAGTGTGAAGGCGATATCCAATATCCTACCCTACCGTACCGTGCTCGTACGTACAGTATCCTCCAACCAACGAGATACCGGCATCAATCGGGTACAACCGCATAAAACATGGAATCGCAGCGCAAAAAAGGACAATGTTCGGCACCCCTCGACTCGTACTTGTACCGTGCCTCCCTCACTCTCCTCCATTAGGGCGGCGCAGCTGCGCTGTGTTACCGTATCTCGTTGACCAATTAGGGGACCGAATACCCCATCTGCCGGTACCACCCTACAGTGCTCGTACTCTTCGATTGTGCCCTTTTTCACCCACTTTCAGTACCGTACTCGAGTGCTGTGCTGTAGATTGTACGAGTACCCCCTCCCCCGGCCGGGGGGAAAAGCATGCCCGGCATGGAAATTCGGGAATAAAGAAAGAAGGTCGGTCATTATTGATGAGTTGTCACAGCACAGCCTTGCAAAACCCGCTTGATGAAAGATAAACCACCCGAGTACGGGCAACCTGCCGGGAAATTATCGAACCAAAGCAAGAGAGGCTTCACAGGTGGTCAACCCCCTCTTTCTCCCTTCCCTTATCTCCTCGGCACCCTTCGAGAAGAGGTGTGCGGCAACATGACATCATTCAACTTGGCCAACCCTTGCCTCAGATGGCATCACTCTCCCCCGGTCTGTTGGCCCCGCCTATCGTGCTCCGGTGTACGCTGCGAGGCTCAACCTAAATCCTCCAAACTACAGTACTGTACCCGTACCGTACCTAACTTGTGTAAAAATAAAAAATAAAAAGGGGGGTTGTTTTCGTTAGAGGGAGGCCCTGTGGGGGGGCCTTACTGACGTCAAGTGTGTACCGGTACTCGAGTACCGGTAATCCAGTCTCGTTCAACACCCCCCCCCCCTTGGTGCCCCGAGTGAAGTCAGAGTGAATCGAAAGTAGTCTACCGGTACCGCTATGGGGGCGGGCGGGTTTGCGATATCACGCATCTTGAAGCATTGCGTTGAGGACGGATGGGCTATGCGCTCGGGTACATCTGCAATGAGTATCGTACCGGTGCCTCCCCCCCTCACACATGCACTAAGCGGGGGAGTACGGTATACGAGAGCTGGCGATGGCACAATATGGCACCCGGTCACTCGGGATTGAGCTCTGATGAGGTGCAATTTTTCAATGGCGGGGATGATATGTCGCTGTCGAACATCACTGTCCTTTTGCCCTAACCGGGGTCTTGTTTCCGAATATCGTACCGCATCCTACTATATCTGATACATCCGAGGGCCTATCACGATTCGTGGAGGGCGGTTTTGGGCATTGATACTCGGGGCGGTTGAATTGGGGGATTGGGGACTCCGTTCATACCCAGGCCGCGGTTCTCCACGGAGTGCCGTAGGAGACTGCCGGTCCTAGTATGAGGCTTTGCGGTGAGTACCGTATAATACTTGCGGAGGTACGAGTGCTCCGCCTGCACAATTGTCGGCTCTATCAAAAGTCGTGCTCGAGGGTAAGGTATGGTACCTCACTGTACAGTATGATACTGTACTGGTACAGCCTGGGCATGATGCCCGCAGGAGCCCCATCCCCGCCGAAGCTCCTGCCGCGCCGTCCAGAATACTCTCTGCAGTAGGGCAACTAGAGAGTAGCCTATTGTCGGGAGAAAATATCTTATGAGTGTAACCTTTCCTTGCCCCGTGTTGAGGTTGTTACAGATTCTGTATCTCGTTCATCGATGCCTGTACGAGCCTAGTACGATAGTCACCGAGCTGTGATGAACTCTGCGCACGGAAAAGCTTGCACAAGTCCTCAGGGCTGCCATCACCCGGTAAACTTAGCAAGCCGCAACTATTATCTGTTATGATATGCAGATGCCTGAAACCCCGATATAGGTACAGCCCTGTATGCAATCCCCGATGAAGATTGACCCATCTGGCACTGTACGAGTACTGTACAGCGCTCCCCCAACCTGTTCTCACCCACTCACTCCAGAGGGCGAGCACTCCGTTTCGTGGTATGATACAAGCGCGAAAAAGGCAGGGCCAAGGCTAGGGGGGAATGGGGAGAGACGAGCTCGTTTACCACCCCCGCGCGGGCCAATCCACCACGTCAACCTCCCTACTTTTGTCCGCCATCATCATCCTTCTTCCTCTTGATTGCTTGCCCGACCAATAAGCTCTTCTCTCAACCCCCTTTCTTACTCACCTGCTTCCCCAAAATGTTTAACGGTGCTTCTGCCACCTTTTGCTCAATGCTCAATGAGTAACGGTGGATCTGGCCAACGCACCAACCGTTCGCGTGATCCGGAGAAGAAGTAGGGCCGGTTGGCCAATCGAAACTTTCGGGGGCTCCCGAGCATCCCTACCTCTCTCTTGGAATCTTCGCGATCCGCCTTGTCGTCATTTTGGAACGGATCAGCTGAGTTTGTTCTGGCAAGATTGTCATGTTCTTACGCATCGAGAGCCTCATCCGGACCTTGGTAGTTTACGCGCGGTACCAGCACCGTTCAATCAACCACCATCAGATGGAGGAAGAAGAGGGATCATCTGCTCCTCAGCCGTGGACAACTCATCAAACGAACGCTTTTGCCCATGCCGTCTCGTGGGGCTTAGATAATCCCGGAGGCTCTCAATCGTTATATTAACCTAATAATGAAAGTTCTGTACAAGCGCATATGGCTTAATGGCATCACGTCGAGCAAGCCAAGGAAAACTAAACTAAACCAACCAAATCCGTGCACACCCTCACAAACGGGCTCTCGGGCCCTCATGGAAGGTGTGTTTCCCCCATTGTTAATGGGCATTGTGATGGGCACGGCGCGACGAGGTACCCGTTTTGCACAAGGACTCGCTAAGTGAGCAATTCACCACTATTCTTTGATTTTTTCCCGACGCTCGCTTTTTTGAGCCTAATAGGGGAAACTTGCAGAATATCTAGTCGTGTGTTCTGGGAGCTGTAGCCAGATTGGTAGTCCTACCGCTAGGATTCATCTGGAGGAACCTCATTGTGGAATGAAGGTGTATATGCCTGCCTCCAGAGGTTTGCTATCATTTTTGACTGCACCACTGGAGCAATAATGGCGGGTGTGGTGGTGGAGGGGGAACGACTGATACGTACTCGAGTACAGAATTCAGGAAATTGTGGAAAATTTGTGCGGAACACTCACTTCTGCTCCCCCACCCACCTTCCAGGTACACTACATTGGACTCTGGCGGTGGGCAACGGATCCAATTCAACCAGACGGTTGTGCGGGTGCGCATGTCAAAAACCTCCGTACCCAATTAGTGTTAAGTGAATACCACTTCGCTTGTGACCTCGGAAGCCTTGATATCGTGCCCCCCCACCCCTAATGTTGGTTACTTGGGAATAGGGAACATCATGCTGGGCAGAAGAACTGCTACATCCCATCTTGGAGCGGGCGGCGACCCATTCTAGGGGTGGTGCTATTGTCAACGGGCGAGTGCCGGTTGCTTCCGCAAGTGGGTGAACAAACTGGCTATGAAAGCAACAGTTTTGTCTCATTCAGGTTGGTCCATTTCTACTTGAGTGCCATGGCAGTGTCGCCTTGGAATCCTTCGAATTGTGGCACTGCAGAGTAGTGGTGGCGGTGGATATTAACCACGCTTTCAATATGGCGGTTCCTCGGGTTGGTGATGGCGGGAACATCTACTACCGGTAGATGTTAGTAAGACCTCGGGATTTTAATATCAAGCTTCTGATTTCAAACCCGACTTATTGACAATATGCATTTTGCATAGACTATCTACCTAACTTATGAAACTACCCTTCAACCGTAAGTGGACTACTATTATTACCACCGAACAGGCACTCGGTGCTGTTTGATGATGCTAGCCACTCTCCTATCCTCAGACGTATTTGCAGCGGCATAGAATCAGGCTCAGGCGGACATACCATACTCAATTATCTGGGGCGGCAGGCACCTTACCCGGTGGACAGCAAATCAGCATGGCCGCCTGGTTTTTGACATTACTCTTCTCACAAGTGCTGGTCTGGCTCCCCGGTCCGACCCCCCTTCCAGTACCGCTGCCGGATGCTTGCCTTCGACTCCTCTTGCCGCGCCTATATGCTGCAGCCACCACCCTCTATGGCCCTTATGCTCGTTGGAGAGCGGGCCGGCGCCAAAGTTTACTCGAGTGCATCCTCAATGTGGGAATAAACAACTTCAGCCGGCCCATTACTCGAGGCCACCACCATCCTGGTATCTCGGAATCAACGGTGTTCTGACCGTGAGAGTACGACTTGTCTCCACCGCCGGGCGGCATCGTCAACCTGTCGATTGATATTACTCTTCCTACTTTAGCATAGCATAGCGCAGTAGCTGCATCATCGTGCCGCATATTCCTCTAGCCTAGAGCACATCCTCCCTGCCCCTCCTTAAAACGTCACATTACGATAACTCATATGCGGGAGCATGGATCAGCCTAGCTCAAAAAGCCCCTCCAACAATTCGCATCCTCCATCCCAACCACACCAAACCTACCTGGTTGATATCCACCACCACTGTCACCACCACCGCCTCCTCCTCCACTTATTGGCCCACGACTCACCCGTGCGGTTTCCAATCAGGTAAAACTAACCGCGAGTGGAGGGATACGATACGTGGCCGCCATTCCTCTATGGATCGGAGTGAGGAATGTTATCACGAACAAAACAGGTTCCTCCTCAGCCACCTATTTTTCTTTCCCTACTCACATTGCCCTAGGAACGATGCGATAGGGTACGACGTTGGAGTGCGGTCTCTTGTGAAACTTACTTACCTTTAGATTTATTTTACGGGTGCGCTCGATTCGCGGGCGCAGTGGTGCTGGGAAGATCGATCTGCTCATACCTATCCGACTGCGCGATCCGAGTGGGTGGTTGCGGATATGGCACTGACATATCTTGTCTCTCTTTTTTTTTATCTTTTTTTTCTTTTCTCGCTTGTTTATTTACCATTTTTTTGTTTGTGCAAAAGAGAGCATGCTCGAAGGTATTTCCATCTTGACCAGCGGTAATTTTCCTAGTTGGATGGTCGACTTGAGATTAGGTAGGCGGGGGCTAGTAGTGAAGTCATGCTTAGGTACCGATAGTACCCTATTTTATCATAATTCTGGTTTTCCGGCCTTGGATAGAATTCACGGGAAGTCACTCGTGTGTATATGGTATGCGAGAGAGTTTGGAAATTTAGTAAGCGTGCAGAGGGTGGAGTCGTCAAGGTAGAGGGATTTGAACGTAGGCGATACCAAAGTAGAAGTAGTGAGCTAGTGGCTTTGTAATTCGGCATAAATTAGATACCCAATCACAGCTGACACCGCAAAAACACGTCTCGAACCCAAGCAGCTGGCATCACCCTCATCAAGAGGGCGATGGAAAAACCTCCCAGCCACGGGTCCTCGGTGGTGCCTACCCCGGGCCGCTCTGAGGGTTAAGAGTGATACAAGTACGATAAACCAATACACTTAAGCACGGAGATAATTCTCTGAGCCTCCCCCTCGCGGCATTTTACCAATAGCGCTGGAGCTCCTAATCCGGGCAGTGAACTGTTAGTCCGGGTCCGGGTGTCTAGTCATGGGGGTAACCTTTAGCCCAAATGCTACTTTACTGGTGGATAATCCTGTCGCACCAGGAAGGACGGGATGGAATTTTCTCCAAGCGTAGCATCTGAAAAAACGGAAGGAAGGTGGAGTTGATGGCTAGCCGGGCGTGGAATTTTCATACGGCACTCATCTTCAAACCCTGGTATCATACGGTATTATAATAAAATATTATAAGGTCTGGCAGGTATGAAGTCATATGATATCACTCGCGTCTGCTCGGCGGCATTCAAAAGTAAATTCAGATTTGGATGAGCGCACGATACAACGCTAACCAGCGCGGGCACCTTGAGATCTCAAGTGGATTCGAGGACGTTTTTTTTCTTTCTTTTTTTCTCCATTGATTTTGTAGTTAGCCTGGGGCCCGAAGCCCGACCGACAGCCTCCCATCTCCCCTTAGAGGTATTTGGTGGAAGTGTTTTCTCTTCATCTGGGGGGGGGGAATAAAATAGGGTAAGTTATCCGACAATTGGCAGTTTTGCGCAAAATTTTATTATTTGAGATATTGAAAATGATCCCGCAAGGGAGCTGCACTACTATCATGACCCTTTTCTCATATGGCGAACAGTTGCTAGCGCAGTGGACCTTAGTCGCTATTAGCGTGGTCACTTTTATAACTCGATATGGAGCTATATCGAAAAAAAGACACGATCCCCTGGCGCCAAATTTAGCTTCGGAGATCTAATCTTTCGGTATTCTGTCCTACTATCGTGATTTATTGTATGGTGTCTGGTGTGCATCATGGGCTTCGGTGGCCTATGGTAGTATTCGAGCGCTACGCCCCGTCTCCATCCCGTCCCGGACGCTGGTAGAACGGCAAGGCTGGTCGATATTAGTCTTTTTTTCTGGAGCTCCCACAGCCAATCGGGGCTTATCCTCAACCCTCGCCTCGTAGTGTTAGGCTAGCAATACTTGACTATGCCTAGCGGGAACAGTGCACAGCTTATTCCGCTTTCGGATCGAGGTACGCTCCATTATGAGGATCCTGATGGTTTCGGCTCTGGAAATTATCTCGGGGCGTGTCCGGAAAGATAATTGGAGGGGTTGGAGAGGATAGAAAGGGTGAAGGGGAGGGTAGAGAGGGGGAGCGTTGCATGTTGGTGATTTATATGGTAGGGTGCGGTCACACTAGCAAGCTTCTACTCAAGACCTCGAGCGTTACAGCTTGATTCTATAGGTGTTAGCTTACAGGAGTGTTTTTCTCATGGTAATGTTTTTGTCCGTTCGGATGTTTCCTGGGTACGGTAGGTTTTACTTTCCTCCTTGTATCTATTCCTCGCCCATATCCCTGGGATTGCGGCACTCTTAGAGGGCGGCGGGGGTCATCTTCCAGTTAGCATGACAGAAATTGTGATATCCAGTTGGAGGCATATGGTGGTGACCGTATCAAATGATCCAGAGAGCACGAAGCCTCGTCGGAGGACAGTATATAACAGAAGATGCGAGATATCAAGGGGTTGAAAATAGTTTTTCCTCATTCATAGTTGGGCCTGAGACCAGTAACATCAATCTCGGAGTAATAGGGGATTCGTGGGAAGCTTTCTTTGGGTATTTCATTGGGTGGGGGATATCTGCCGGCTCCGGGTTTGGTTTAGTTATTTCTTCCTTTCTTCTATTCCACCTAGCTTGCTGGGGACATCTCATTGCTCATACGGTTACACTCCGTTATTCGGTTCTCTTTGCGTGTGTGATAATAGTACCTCGTCTTTGGGATAGAACGGGTATATTTGGAACCCTAGCCAGAGCCTGAAATACACGCTTTTGAGGCGCTGATGCAACTTCTCTACCGTCAAGCGTCTATTGGCCCAATGAATTGAAAGACGAGTTTTTTCGCCTGGTGAGGTTCGATGGGCTTCTTGAACGGGGTTCCTTGGCTGCTATTTCCCTCGCGCTTATAGTCTAGGGTTTTTCTGGTAGGCTAGTTATAAGTGCTGGGCTTTTTTCCTTCTCGCGCCATATTTTTCTAGGGAACGAGCCACTAGCAATCTTTGAAGATATCCAATTCGCCTTCGGCATCCTTCTCCTCGAAGGCGTATTATCCTTGTGGGGTGATCCGGCCAGTACCGAGCATCCCACAGCGGACAATACGACTCGAAACGGTCCCAATTTTGTAATAGGTAGGGAAGATTCCATTCTCACCCAGCTTACCCAACGCCCCCATGTAGCGTCGCCCCAGGTCCACACTCTAGATATTTCTAGCATCCCAATATGCTGATCACCTTCACGGTAGATTAGTGTCCACTCGTGAAATCGTAGCCCTTGTTTTTCTATGGATAGTATTATGAGAGCACAAGGCACTGTAGCTATGGCCAAAACGGAAGGGAGGGGGACCTGTTGGCCTTCCCGATTCATCGGCGAAGAGTTGTTCAGGAAATTTGTGCTCAGTCCCATCTCCTCATGGACAGTCACTCATATTTTCCTTCTTTCCCCCGACTGCCACACACCATATCTTGTGGAAACTGCGAGAAAGGAAAACAAGCCAGCCGTTTACCAATCTAACACGCCAGAAGTCGCGATTGACAAATCTCCCTCGAGGGCATCCATGTTTATGAAACAGAACAGGAACCGGATAACGTTAACATGCGCTGACAAGGTGTTCGAGCGTGAAAGGAGTAGAGAGCTAAGGTGAGGTGTGGTGACACTGTGAAGGAACACTCAAACTAACACGGTTGCGAGTGGATGCCCAGGCCCCGGTTATATCTATTCATTTAATACCAGCCAGATTTAGCCAAAGAATAAATCCTCGGGGAGGAGGCTATCTTACCAGGTAGACTCGTTCTCCCCAGCTTGTATCGAGTATGTACAATACAAGAGACTAACCGAGGTATCATACGGGAATTTGAGGGCTTGAGATATGCTATAGCGGGATCGGTAGTAGTGTTTGTTTGTAGGCCTGCGAACTCTATACTGTGATGAAAGTTTTGTGCTGGAGGGGCTTCGGAACCCTTTTTCTTCTGTTGGTTAGTGTATGTTAGTGATGGGGAGAGGGCTGGTATGGTTGTTCGTAGAATGTTCGGGAGTGCGGAGGACTGATCTGGGGCTATCGTGATTGATGGAGAGTGTGCTCTAGACATGTCTTTCCTTTATTATTACGGGAGTATGCTGAGGAATGTGGACAGCGCTAAGAGTTATGTGTGGTGATCCACGGAAGGATCAGGACGCTTTTGTTATGTTTTATGCATGCTCCTGTCTATAGGTTAGTTTAGGGTAGAGTAAGATAGCGAAGCCCCTAACCTCGCCTTCCCTATTCCTCCCGCCCTCCCTCCGAACAAGTGTGGAGTGAATCCGCTCACGTTACCGCCGTGCTGTTGGTATTTCTCTGAGAGTGCAGAGTGGGAGGGTGCTTTGGAAACGGCCGAAGGAGAAGGATGAAAGGGTGCAATCTCTTATTGTTGGCGCTGTAAGGCAAATGTGAGGTCATTGTGAATCCCCAGCTCTCAGTTTTCACAATCACTCAACTTTGATTCATATCTCAGGAAGTTAGTACCCATTCCTTGCACTTCTTTTGTCTGCGAGATAAAAGGCAATAGATCTAGTTACCAGTCAATATAGTAGCTCGTTATCTTTTTGAAGTAGTGCGGAAGTGAGAGGGTGTGAGAAGATGTTAGGAGTATTAGTGAGACGTGGGAAGCAGCATGGTGGATGGAACAGAGGTGAATGGGATGGGGAGGAGAGGTTGGGAGGGGAGAAAAGGAGAGAGTGCGAACGCTGGGGGTTTCTGATCTGTGTATATATAAAGCCAGCTGCCTGCGCCCATGGGTAAAGGATGGAGGAGAGCGGCAAGCAACGGATCGAAATTGAGATCCCATTCCGGTGCACAAGAGCTTCCAGTACACAAAGCCCACGAACAGTGCAAAACAACAAAACACGCTCGGCCGGCTAAGATCCATGTGGCTCTTACCACTACCTGAAAACCCATAATCCGAATGATGGAAATCAACCAGCAATCATCGTGAGTGGGAATTCTCACGCTTAAGAGCCAGACTAGACAGTCAATTTTTGGGCGGCCTTGCCAATGCACTGCTCGTGTACGTTTCAATTTTTGTTGTGTTAGGTTGGAGATTTTTCCCAATGAAAAGAGTCCTCTTTCAAACTGATCACCTATCTTCTAGTGGAAACTCTGTCGCCCCAAGCCAACCACAATCGTTACCTAGGACTCCTGCGGAGAAGTTAGTGAAGCCGCTATAATGGCCCTCACAGAAGTGTGGGAAGGTTGGTCCCCCCTTCAGGGGCGCTCATTGAATGTGTACAAGTATCAGAGCGTTATCTACCATATCTCATGCAGCCTGCTCAGGAGTATCATAGCTTCCAGAAAGCGTTTTTGCACTATCTTCTCCCCGGGCTACCGTATAAAGGATAACGCCCGATGATTTAAGGCCAAACCATAGCTTGCCAACTTAGTTTTTGGATGATACCGTACATCCCCGTGCAGTAAACAACCGATACCATACTATGGGCCATAGCCGCAATACAGAACACCGGAAAATGGTATCTTGCACAATAGGATCGGAATGCTTGGCCACTGTATCTCTTGATATCCTACCATGGTCGTGCGGAATT